GCCCTGAATGCTGTCTGGGTACCTGCACACAACAAGTGAATGTATCCGTCCATAGGCCTGGGTACGGTACCTTTGACTCTACAGTTGTCTTTGACTGTTGAATTTCCMTTGTGCTGCGTTTGGTCACACAGCCTCCTTGACAGACTCAGGCTGGGCATGTCTCGGTCACATAGCCCAGCACAGACAACTGAGTCTGTGTCTTACCGGGGGCAAAGTTCTGAGCCACGGTCTGCTGTTGAACAGGGTTACTGCACTTCTCTCCATCACTTTCTCATCCCCCCTTCCCCCCGTACTTCAAATTTTTTTTTATTTTTTTTTTTTAATCTCCCTCTTGATTTATATTTTCTCTTTTTCCAAAAATTCAAATTATCTTCTTCCCCACCTTCTTTTCTCATTTTCTGATTTATTTAATTTATTTTTTTATTTATTCTGAAAACTCGTTTTTCTTTACGACAACCCTAAATCTGATTAGGTGTTAGTCTTTCTTGCTTTCGGCACACGTTTTGACCCCGTGGGGTAACGAAGTGCTGCTGAAATTTTTGACAAATCAGATACTTCATTTCTCCCCACCTCATCCCCTTATTTACTTATTTATTTATTTATTTATTTAATATTTTCTTTTTATTTTCTGAATTTTTTTTTTTTTTTGCATTTTGAAACCTAGTGTGCTCACCTTGGTCTCCCCTTTCCCCTTGGCACATTCTTGACCCCATGGGGGGTAGGGAAATGCTGCTGAAAATTTCAAAAAAATAAATATTATTTTTTCTTTCACATTTTGTTTACTTATTCCCTTAATTATTTTTATAATTTATTTATTTCGTTATTTATTTTTATTTTTCTCTCGAAATCGCGCTGTTTATTTATTTTTCTCCCGCCTTCCCCCCCCCTATGCTTGCTATTTTATTTTCTTGATTAGGTCACCGGCACCGTACTCTAACCACTCAAACTCCGGTTAGGGTTTTCTTAGGGTTTTTATAGGGTTTAGGCTTCTTCAAACCCCTTCTTCCTCTTCGGGCACCCTGGACCCGAACCACCCCTCCCCCTTTGATGGCGCCCGCGCCAGCCTTGCTAGCGCCGTCCGCCGCTTTCTACCGCGGACTTCCCCCTACGCCCTCCGCTCACGCTGACCTCTCCTGGCCCCCTCCAGTCCGGCCCGTCACCTCCCCATGGCCGACGGCGCGTCACACGCCGCCGACGCGGCGACGACTATGGCACAGGGCTCCACACCCGTGCCGATGGACCAAGGCCACCAGCCCCCGGGGGATCTGCACACCTTCCTCACCTCCCTCCTTGCGCCCATCCAGGTGCAACTCGCAGCCCTTACGCCCTTACAGGCGCAGGTGCCGACCCTTGTCGTCGGCATGCAGCTACTCCAGGACGCTGCGTGTCCGTCATCTCCTGGCTCCCAGTCCGGGTCCCCCGTCCTCCGACAGGGTGGCCACGGCGGAGCTTCCTCCTCCGCTGCCCCCGACCCGACCATCTTGGTGACTGTCCACGCCCCTAGCACGACGGCCGCCACGAGCCAGGCCCCCCCTCAGTCTACGGGCGCACCCGCCCAGATCCCGGTCACTACGCCCACAATACAACAACCCACTACCATGGTCTCAGCTTTTTCGGGTGCCCAACTTCTCCCTCCCCTTCGCACGACCACAGCACCACCTGGCTCTCCCCGCTTTGGGATGCCCCGCGCCGCTTGTGCGTCCACTTCCTCCACTCTTCCTCCTGCCATTCCTCGTTGGACCTATGTTCGAGGTCTCGCGGACGAGATTGCCCAGCTATGGGCCGACCTCGCCCTCTTACGCCTTAAGCCACCCCCACCCTCACAGGTGGCCGCGCCCTCGAGCGCACCCCCTACCTCCTCTACTCTTCCTCCCATGCAGGCTCGCTTCCCGTGCCCTGCACCCTATCCAGCCCCATCCTACCTCCTTCCAACTCCCGCGGTTGCTGCGACCTCTTCTACCACAGCTCCCTCGCAGCCTGCCGCAGTGGCCCCCGCCGCTCCCCCATGCGGCCCAGGCGCACAGTCAGTTGCGCCCCTTTCTCCAGGACCTGCGCCGACTTACTCAGCCGTGGCACAGGCCTCTGCCCCTCGATCCGCTCGTCGCCAAAACGGTGGCGCACCACTCATCCGCTTGTCGGACATTGCCCTGTATGACGGTACAGGCATACGCGTGTCTCGGTGGCTGCAGTCTGCCACCCGCACGCTCCAGCTCATGGGCGCCACACCCGACACGTGGGTGGGTCACCTCTCCACGCGCCTGCGTGGCGGTTCTTTCGACGCCTGGGAGGATTTCTATGCTTACTCCCTTCGTGAGGGTCGGACTACGACCTTCGTGGATTTCCAGGCGTTCCTCAAGGATCGCTTCGGAGCCCGATATGACGTGACTGACGCCTTTGAGCGTGTCGTCACTATACGCTGGTCCGGCTCTGGTGGCCCTGCCGGCCTGGATCGCCACATCCAGGTCTTTCAGGACGCCCGCCTCGTTTGTGACGTGGCGTTCCTCCCCGAGGCTGCCCTTATTGATCGTTTCTTGGCGAGCCTCCCGCTCGAGTACTGCTCCGAGTTATGGCGGTACGAGTTCACATCGGCCCCGCAGGCTTACGAGGCCGCCAAGGACCATCAGCGGATGAGGGCCCGTCTTCACCCCGCTTCCTCCTCCCAGCCCCAACATACTGGTTACGTCTCCTCCTCCTCTCACAACACTTCCCAGCGCCGTTCCCCTTTCCGCGGTCGCCCCCGCCGTTCCCCTTTTCGCGGTCGCCCCCACCGTTCCGCGCAGCAGGGCCACCACTTCTCGCGCCGCTTCAGCGCACTTGAGTATGTTGAGCAGGACGCTGGTGCCCAGCTGTCGCCAGAGGGTGACCATAGCGACGACCTCGACCTTGGCAAGGCCGTGCACCACCACCTGGAGGACCCTACTCTCCCTATGGTTGAGCGCCTCCAGCTCATCCTCTCCACCCTTTCCCGGGTACGCAGCCGCCTTGGTCACGCTGGCGCGTCGCCCCCCCGAGGTCCCTCAGCAGGACCTCCCTCAGGGCTTTGTCCCTCCTCGCGGTGTCCTTTCCGCTGAGGAGCGCACGGCTATTTTGGGCCGGCGTGGATGTTTGCAATGCCGTCAGGACGGTCATACCTCCTCGCAGTGCCCCTACACCACCGCCCTTGACCGCCACTACGCCGACCTTTCCCGCCAGCGTCGTGCTCAGTCCCCCCCCAACGCCTTGCATCCCCGCGACGCCTCGTAGCCACGGTGCAGTGTACACGTGCGCCCTCCTCAGTAGTCGGCTTCCCGACATCCCCGTCGCGGTTTGCCTCTCTCTCATTACTGGAGTTGAGGTCTCGCAGGACCCGACAGAGTGTACTTAGCCCTCTGTTGCAGTACCGTCTGCACCTCCGCAGACCACCGTCTCCCCTCCTAACCCTCCGCGACTACCGACGCGTCGAGCCATTCGCTCAGCCCGTTGCAGCAAGCAGCTCGCTACTTGCGAGGACGTTGTATCCTCTCTTCTGGATTTGAGCATGCTCCAGGCTCGTTAGGAGCGACTCACCCTCCATGTCGCTGCACTGCGTCGCCTTCTCACCATCCTTTCTGACCCTGATTGCACCCTCCCGATCATCCCCGTACGACTCGGGACCTCCACGAGGGTGTACTCAGCGCCGTGGGATTCCGGTTCCTAGGGCGACTTCATTCACCCACGTGTGGTGAAAGAAGCACGCTTACCCACGACAGGGTCTCCGACTCCCATCTCCGTTACCCTAGGGGATGACAAGACCCAGCGCTTCTTCGATCAGACGGTCACCGACCTCCCTTTCTTCCTCACTCTCGAGCTGACTGATCGTCCCCCGGCGTCTCGTCGCCACCGCTCCTCTGCACATTTCGATGTGATGGAGACAGGGTACGACTTCATTCTCGACACTCCGTGGTCTCGTCGGTTGCGCAGCACCGAGGCCGATTGGGCGACCAACATTCTCATTCTCAAAACGAAGTGTGGACAGACGTATCGCGTACCTTTCATAGGTACCACTGCGACACCACGCCCCGATCTTCCTCCCGCGGAGCCTTCCGTGCCCACACCATCTCCTTCTATCACTGTCACCTCACCTCGGCAGTTCGCTCACTTCATCCGACACGACGACGTCATCTTCTTTATGGTGAACGTGGCGGATCTCTTACACTATGATCCACCCTGTCCCGACGGCGAGCTCATCCCTCTGGAGCCAGATCCTCCTTCTATCTCCATGGCTCCCATCTCTACTTCCCAACCCATCGTCGTTCTCGTACGCCGACATCCCACCGATGCGCGACGTCGAGCACTCCATCCAGCTTGTGCCTGACTATCGAGTTCACCACCAGACACCCTACAGACTCTCGATCCCCGAGGCCACCGAACTCAAGCGTCAGCTTGAGGAGCTCCTGAGACTGGGTTTTATTAAACCCAGCAACTCCCCGTGGGGTGCACCCGTCCTCTTTGCTCACAAAGCGGATGGAACTCTCCGTCTCTGCATCGACTATCGTGGCCTCAACCGCTACACGGTTAAGAACAGTTACCCCATGCCTCGTTTCGATGAGCTGTTCGACCGCCTAGCAGGCAACCGCTTCTTCACGAAGATTGATCCTCGTAGCGGTTACCATCAGATCCGCGTCGCTGCAGCCGTCCAGCCGAAGACCGCGTTCCGATCGCGATTCGGCCACTACGAGTTTACGGTGAGGTCATTCGGCTTCACCACTACCTTCCAGAGGGCGATGAATGACATCTTCAGGGACATCCTGGAGCAGTACGTTTTCGTTTACCTCGACGATATCCTGGTCTACAGTCGTACCCTCGAGGAACACCTTAGACACCTCCGCGACGTCCTTGACCGCTTGCACAAACATGGCTTCTACGCCAAGCTGAGCAAGTGCCACTTTGCCCAGCACAAAGTGGATTTCTTAGGACCCTACGTGGCTGACCAGGGTCTCCACATGGATGACGCGAAGATCACTGGCCCGCTCCCACATCCGCCAAGCAGCTTCGCAGCTTCCTAGGCCTGACCAGCTACTATAGTAACTTCATCCAGGGATACGCTAGGTATTCCTACGTCCTTACCTCCACCCTCCTCCGGAAGAACCCACCCTGGGCTTGGACACCCCTCCACGAGGATGTTTTCCGCGCCCTCAAGAAGGCGGTGACATGCGCACCGATGCGTCAGACTTTGTTGTAGGAGCAGTGCTTTCTCAGGTCTTCCCCTCCTCTCCTGATTCCTCTCATCCTCGTATCCCTCGCTTCCCACCACCTACCCCTACCACTGCTTCCCGACTGACGCCTACTCGTCCAGCTACTGACGAGCCTTCTATTGACTATTCTCCTACCATCGCCGAGGACGGCACTGTCGAGTCTCGCTCAGGTGATTGTCCGATAGCCTTCTACTCCTGTCAGCTCCTGCCCGCCGAGATAAACTACACCGCTGATGAACGTGAGGTTCTCGCAGTAGTTTATGCCGCTCGGCACAGGCGTCACTACCTGCACGGGGCACCATTCACGGTGCGCACGGACAACTCTGTTGTCCAGGCTTTTCTGACAAAGTCGAAGCTCACTCCTCGGCAGGCTCGCTGGTGGCGCAACCTATCCGAGATTAGTTTCACCACTGAGCACATCAAGGGTGAGACTAATCGGGTCGCAGATGCCCTATCCCGGCGCCTTGACCACGACCAGGAGCAGATCCAACTCTGTTCCATCTCGGTCACCACTGTCCACCACTCGGTGATTTATGAGTTTCGCACTCAGTACCGCCACTGCCCCGATATTCACGCGACCCTTCGGAGTGGCAAGACCGTCCCGAACTACTCTCTCGGGGACAACGGTCTTGTGTACTGGCACGGTTCACAGGGCACCAGAGAGCCCCGTATTTGCGTTCCCTCCACTTGACAGCTACATGTCCGAGCAGTAGCAAAGTTCCATGACCAGGCAGCCGCCGGTCATATGGGCTTCCACAAGACATTGGCTCGTGTGAGCCGCCTGTACGTCTGGCCGAAGCGCAAGGACTTTGTGAAGGACTACGTCGCAGAGTGTCTCACCTGTCAGGAGGTGAACAATGCGAACCACCTGCCTTATGGTTTGCTCCAGCCTCTTCCTATCCCTGAGGGTCGTTGGCAGTCCATCTCGATGGACTTTATCGGTCCTCTTCGTCCTCCGACCCCCCGCGGTCATGATGCTATCCTGGTCGTCGTCGACCGCNATCCCTAAGGGTCGTTGGCAGTCCATCTCGATGGACTTTATCGGTCCTCTTCGTCCTCCGACCCCCCGCGGTCATGATGCTATCCTGGTCGTCGTCGACCGCTTCACGAAGCGTGCACGCTTTGTTCTGTGCCGCTATGCCATCACTGCACGTGAGGTCGCCGACATCGTGTTTGATCGAGTCGTGCGTGACCACGGATTACCTCTGAGCATCATATCTGACCGTGATCCGCGCTTTACCAACCGATTTTGGCGACAGCTCCACGAGGTATACGACACTCAGCTCCGCTCACGAACAGGACTCTCCATCTTGCCCACGCTGAGATAGCCTACAATCACGCTGTCTCGCCAGCCACAGGGATGTCGCCTTACTATTGCGACCTCGACTATCACCCTCGTGTTCCCGCGGACTTCCTTCGACCGTCACAGATGCACCCCGACACGAGTTGTCCCGCGCTGGATGATTGGGTTGCACATATGACGTCGATCATGAAGACCGCACATGAGCACATAGCCGCTTCCCATACTCGCATGGCAGCACATGCGAACCGATCGAGGATGGATCATCCATTCAAAGTCGGTGATGATGTGCTTATCGACGCCCGCCACTTATAGCTCGAAGCGGACACGCTTCGCAAGTTTCGGCGTCGCTTCTTTGGACCATGCCGCATCCTCCAGGCCGTCAGTTCTGATACGGCATCTAGCCTGGTCAACTTCCGTGTGAAGCTGCCCGACTACCTACGCCAGGCTCGTGTGCACGATGTCTACCACGTCTCGTTACTGCGTCCTTACCGCAAACCGTCTGAGCGTTTCGCTGGACGACCATACGAGCGCCTTCCACCCATCATGGTGGACGCCCACGAGGAGTTCCTCGTTTTAGACATCATTGGTTGCTGAGTCACCGATGACAACCCTCCCCACTTCGAGTATCTCGTACGTTGGAAGGGTTACCCTGATGAGGAGGCTACCTGGGAGCCCCTCGAGCACTTGCAACACGCTCGCATGTTGGTGCGTGCCTATGACCGTGCTCGTCGTGCTGGGTTCACTGCTCCTCCTCAGCCCACTGACCCTCCTCCTTCTCCTCCGGCTGAGGAGACCGCTGAAGTCGAGCCTGCTCCATCTGAGGCAGACCTTCAGCAGCAGCAGGATGCTTCAGAGCGTCCACAGCGCACTTATCGTCGTCCTGCTCGATACGACGATTGACTACCTTCCCACGTCTTTGACTTCTCAGTACTCCATTCACTCCAGTTTTGCTACTTCAGCTCGTCGACGTTGCGGCTCTTCCTCGACGGCATTCCGGACTTCTCATCGTGGACGTCATCGGCAACTTCATGGACTTTGTCACGATCAGCTCTGCCTACTTCAGACGTCGTCACTCCCTTACCACTTTACCCTGTACAGTACCCTGCTTGTGTCGCATGATGGTCTCCCTTTAGCCGGGTTCCTCTGCGTTGGGCTCTCCCTTGGTATACGCATAGGCATTGGGACCGTAGCGTTGCCCTGGCTTCCCAGCTTACGAATCTAGCTCCGACTTCCCTCCCCTTAGGAGTCATTTGCATGATTCCCTTACCCATCACTTTTTCTACCCTCTGCCGGCCCTCACGCCCTAGTTAGGCAGCCCCTCATGCTTCATCTAGGTGCGCCCAGTATATCAGGCTCTCTTGTTCCCTTGCATGGTCGACCCTCCATAGCGGTCACCCCTTAGTCGAGCTTTACCGGCCCTAATGGTCTATCTGTTAGGGTCATTGGTTCTGTTCGCTCCCAGTTCCCTACCCTCATTGAGCCTGATGACATGTGTCTCCCTGTTATCTATGTGTGGATGCCCTTAGGAGTTTTCGACCCCTAGGCTGCATTCGCCACCCTCAGAGACCATCCCACCCTTTGGTTTGCGACACACTCCTCCCGCGACATATGGTTGACTTGTTGTTGCTTGTTGCTCTCAGACTGAGGCTCCTGCCTTTGACATTTCTGGGATTTAGTTGTTCTGCTTTTGCTGTTCTTAGGACTTATACACTAGTCAACTGTTCGCAGACTGAGGCTACTGCCTCCAACATTCTAGGATCTAGTTGTCACTCCTTTCTGCTTTCCTAGGACATGTATGCCAGTTAGTTGCTTCTGCTTTCCTTGGACATGTATGCTAGCTAGTTGCTTCTGCTTTTACTTAGGCTGTTAGCTGTGACATTGCTGTTTTGTGACATTTTCTAGCCTAGGTTGCATCGCATGGACTCAGCATGGAGCTCGTTCCGCATCGTAGACTACTCAGGTTTTCTTTTTCTTTGGTGGAGTTCCGCTTCTTGGCGGAAGCGTGTTTGTATCTAGGCGATCCATCACAGGCCTGTGTTCTATTCGGGGGCAGTCCAATCCAGTCCAGGCCGGTACCTCTGTCGGTACCAGCCAGTCCAGTCTAGTCCGTTAGTCCGCTGGGGTATACCCCAACCATTGTCTGTTTTTCGGGATCATTCTTCACTTGCACATTTTGGAGTACGTGCATTGGAGTCTTGCGTGGGAGCTGCGTTGTGCCATCTCGCTCCCCCCTTCTTCCTCCATCTCCATCCCAGCCCAGGCGGAGCACCACACCCGGTGGGTCCGCTACACTGTCTCTGTGGTCAATCCGCAGGCTAAACTGGATTCCCTGTCCTTGTCACACAACCATGGTGGACACTATCAATTGGACAGCAACTTCCTAGATCCTATCGTGACGAAAGGCAATACGCTTAAGTACTCGCAGAAAGAATGTACCAGGGACTCCATGCACAATTCTCGTTTCAGTGTCAGCACTCTGATCGGAATTTAACACCGAACTGCAGTATTCCGGTCGATTCTGTGCAGACGACTTCCAATCGCTGCACTTTTTTGGCTTTTGCTACCCCACGATGCAAACGCCTGTCCGTTCTTAAACTCCAGCCCCTCATCTGCCCAGATGCAGTGCTCATTCTTAGTTAACTGGACACAGCTTACGTATGGAAAGGACTGCCCAACACGGACTTGACAGCCCAAGAAATCCCACTCGTAGTTTCCTTCATTGGTGCGTTTCAAAGTCAAGTTGTCAGGGTAGCAGCATTCAAACTTCGTCTGAATGTGAGACACAACTCAGGATGTCGCTGATTTCCAACTACCTCCAGTGGTCCCTTCCTGTCGTGAGGCCCAAGGATGAACCCCTACCTCGTGTGTTAACACGTACGAAGTCTATCCCTTTCTGGGCGTATATCGGAATCAACCAATTGACTGCTTCAAGGATACAGTCGTGAAGAAGTCGACTGAACATATCCTTCATATCGTATGAAAAAGCTACAACACGTACCTCTCCCTTCTTTTTCCCGATCTTTGAGTTCATCCTCGACAGCCTGTCAGCCAGTAAAGAAATAAAGGGCAAATTGAAGTGCCAACTCTTTGGTAGGCAAGACAACATATGATTTAAAGCTTTGGGCACAACCCTCCTTGTCTTCACCATCGGTTCCTTGAAGGTTGGACAGATAGGGCGATACCTGTCCAAGTCTTTATGCTTCGGCAAGACATATGCGGATCCGATGCTGCCACTCTTATCCCACTTAGCAAAGTTAGTCAACCCCATCAAGTCAACATCCTCTCTGACAATCCTCAACACGTGTTCTTCCGGTTGATCAATTACCACATATCTTGAGCTTCGCACAAAGGTATTCATCATGGCTTCGAAGTAAAGACGAGGGCAAAGGACCAGTGTTTCCTCGGGATTTCGGTCCAGAGGGGTCCTCACCATCAGTAGAGGCGTTCGCAAGAACGTAAGAGCATATCCAATCTGCAACCAGACATGCCGACAAATCTTCAAGACTTACAGTTGGGACATTTACACAGTTCCTCCATTGTACAAAACCATCACAGATCTCCTCCTTCAAACTCAAAGCCCGATGATTCCTCCTTGCTACAGGGATGTTCTTCGCATTTCCCATGAATGGAGGCAACCCCTCAATAGAACTCAAGCGGAAACGCACATGTCCATTCTCCATCGGAGCGGTCATGCCTGCGCAATTACAGGCTAGCACACACTTAGATGCATAGCATGTCTGATTGTGCAGAATGTCCCCCACAGTCCGGTTTTTAGTCCAGACCGTGCGGACCTTCCGACGTGCACGCTTTGCAAAACACACCGGGAGCTGGCGATCCATTAGACGGTCGTTCAACACTTTCCGAACTTTAGATAGTTTGATACGATCGTCGTACCCGATATGGACAATTAAGTCAGAATTCACATAAATCCCATGCTTAACACGGAACACACGACTCAAAAGACGACGAAGGTAACTCCTAGTGGACTTTCTACTGAATTCCTTAATCAAGAGGTTATTCAGATGCCATGACCAAATGCAGTCTAACTGCTTCGGATTATGTAAAATAGACGCCAAAATCCCTTTGTACGGTCCACTGGCAGGTCGCCATCTCCGTAAGAACTCGAAGTCAAAACATCCACCAGCCTCGAATGCTAATTTACAATTACTTAGACTGCGATTGGAGCCATCAATCCTCACGGTCGACTTGCCAAAATCCTTTACAATTGCGTGCCACATATCGAACCAAGAATTCCCACTCGAAAACGACAAGTCGAGATTTCTTTCCTTCTTCTCGAGCGCATCCTTCAGCGTCTCTAGTACACTTAGAGACTCCACATTCTGCTCTAGTTGTCGAACCCTCACAGGAACCAGGGCACCTGCACGCTCGGCGACAGGTAATGACTGCCGACGGATTCTCTCCCTTCGTCCCTTCGGGCACGACTTGCCATTCGCGCACTGGTAGAATTCGAAAAAGGGGAATAATGTCGTATATACGACTCCAAAGCCTCAAGTTCATGCGCATCGGCAATATCTATCGGAACCGGCACATAGTTTTCCCAACCGAAGCAAGCTAACCAACGATAAAAATGTGACTGGTTCCTATTCTTGCATGCATAACGATGTTCGTGCCAACGAGTGTTGGTAGTACGAGTCGTTTTACCGATGTACTACGATTTGCAGCTCAATGATACCGCTGCGTAGACACAACCCGGTTTCTCCAAGAAGAAGATACCGTAATGATCAAACAGACGGGTCCATGATTCGACACACTTACGACACCATCAGATCGCTCCCAACAAGGTTAACTTGACAATCAAGAGTCTCGTTACAGCCTCGATGGTAGGATCCACGACATCAAGCTTCTTCCGCACGTTACATAGGTAAAGGTATTGACGCCGCAGAGGCGCGCACCCTTACTCTTGGTTCAGAGTCGCGTCTTCATTTTTTCCTTCGTTTGCACTCCTGTTGTCCGCTTCGTCTTCAACAGATTCCTTTTCGGCCGCGCCGGATTCATGCCCCGAACCATATGCCTCGTTAGCCTTTTGATTTGCAATGTCAAAGATGGCATGCATCTTTCCGCTATAGTCGATCCCAACGTCCTTGCACATAGATTCCATCGTCTTGGCGTCCATATCGATCAGGTCACGCCTCAGTGTTTCGAGATAACGGTACTTTCCATCTTCCCTGCACTCCGCCGGTATCTTCTTACTCGATGTAGGACGACCCCGTACTCTCACCTTCATACTAGACTTCAACTTCGTCTTCGGGGTTCGGGACTTCAGCCTCGGGGTTAGCTTGGTTGGTACGATCACTGTCTGACATGCAGGCGTGCGTTTCAGTGGACCAACCATAGGGGGGTTGTCCTCAAATCCAGGGTCCCCCCCTCTCTTCCTCTCTTCATTGAGAGTTAACTGGCCGGTTCTAGCACTCAAATCCTCGGTGTCGTCATCGCTCCCGTTGTCTGAGTCATCGTCGCTTGGTACTGGCGCCTTCTCTTTGCTCTTTCCTCGTATTACCTTGCGTAGTTCCTGACGAATTTCGTCCCGCAGTTCACCAATCTTTAGCGACAACTGCACATCAACATACTTTGCCAACTTCATCTGCTTAATTTCCGCCCGTTTTTCCTTCTCGATCTTCCGTGCCATCCTTTGTTCTCTCTCCATCCTTTCTTCTTCTTCACGTTGCTTGGCGAGCGCCTTCTCCTTCCTCATAGCTTCTTTCTCTTCTTTCTTGGAGCGTTTGAGTTGGATATACTCCTGTAGGCCAGCGACGTTACATCCTAGCTTCTCCAGCTCCGAAGTCATACGTGATTCTCCCAACGATGATGACCGACCTTGGTATCCTCGCCTTGGTGAGAATGGTCGGCCATGGTGAGAATCACCCGACGTCGATGGTGTCTCGAACCAGCCACACTGGTTCGCATAGTGCCCAACTTTGCCGCACTTGAAACACCTAGGCGGTCCTCATTTCTGGTACCGATCGCGATCCCCGTCGCGCTCCCGGTCAAATTCCCTGCCTCGGTCTTGGTCCCGTCTCCTGCTCCGATCTTGGTCATGATCTCGGTCTCTCGATCACGGTCTCTTCCCTCGCCTCTGTTGCCATCCTGACTGTCTCGATGCTTGTCGCTCGCCATACTCCGTACAGACGGAGTCCTTGAGTCAAAGCTGACGCCGCTCAATGACTGTAACCAAATTCGTTGTGGATATTCGCGCTCACTTGTCTAAGCTTGGTCCGAAACAGTTCACGCGTGACTTAGCACATGTATTGATGATAGGTAACTTGAGCAAAAGCACAACTTAAGCAGAAGCACACCCGTCACACTTCGACAAATGCCAAAGATGACAAAGTACTCAGAATTATAAAACAGAACTGGCTCCCGACGCACGTTTCGACTGTCGCCGCGCAGTCGTCCTAAGGGGGTTTCCTCCTTCCTTACCCCACACACTCCTTCCCGCCTCTAACCCTCCTTCGTGTCTCTGGTGAGCCGGCATTCCCGGAAATGCCGACGCAGAGAACCGTCGGTCCTGAAAGAGGAAAATTACCTCGACAACAGTTCTTAAGTACTTTACAAAACACTGTTAATAGCCATCCCGGTACGTCGAAAACCTTTGGCCCATTTGGTACTCGAGGACCCCGACGTCCTTCCGGTCCTTGGGCCAACCTCAAATCTGATGGTCGAGCGAGACCCAAGGGCAGTCGACCCCTGGTCCCCTCGTCGTATTAGCAAAGCCGAAAAACGAAACAAAAAAACAAACCCACAAAATCTGATGGGTGAGCAAGACCCAAGGGCAGCAGACCCCTGGTCCCCTCGTCGTTGTAGCAAAGCCGAAAAACGAAACAAAAAACAAACCAAACAAAGATCGCGTAGTCCTAGGCCCTGTTCCAGGCCAGGTCTGACAAAATCAATGAGGGTCCTACTGATACCATAGCACAAATACGCACACCACACCACACCACACTTCCACAGGTATCTTATCTGAGCAGGACCTAACTATGCTATCATTAAAACCGGCTATCAAACCACACAGTAGATGCCGGAAACGATCATAATTCCTATTCAGAGTAATCCTACAGGAAACCGACCGGCCACTCTGTCTCTGTGGTCAATCCGCAGGCTAAACTGGATTCCCTGTCCTTGTTACACAACCATGGTGGACACTATCAATTGGACAGCCACTTCCCAGATCCTATCGCGACGAAAGGCAAAACGCTTAAGTACTCGCAGAAAGAATGTACCAGGGACTCCCTTCATGCGCGATTCTCGTTTCAGTGTCAGCACTCTGATAGGAATTTCACACCGAACTGTAGTATTCCACTCGATTCTGTGCAGAATGTACCTGAGCACTATCACAGCCATATCCTTTATTGTTTTTTGTTTTTTCTTTTGGGTTCTGCCAGCAGCGCAAAGGTAATCCACGTTCATCCACACTAGTACTTCCCGAATGTATCTGACCACGATCACGGCCAAATCTTTGCTTCTTTTTCTTTTTCTTGGTTTGTTTCTTTCCTCCAACGTAATACTTCCGACCAGATGTTGGGGAAGGCCTGGCTGAGGGCATGCTCACACTAGTGCTGTACAGAATGTACCTGAGCACTATCACAGCCAAATCCCATTTTTTTCTTTTTTTTTTCTTTTGGGTTCTGCCAGCAAGGCAGAGTGCAATCCGTTCGTTCTCAGGGATGGCCCTCACTGAGGGCATACTCTTGAAGTTTTTTTTTCCCTCTTGTTTCCTTCCTCCTTTTACGCGATCTCGGGGATGACTTCACTCAGGGCATCAAAAAGGGGGATAAAAAAACGAAAAGCAAAGATGAAGGGAAGAAAAAATAAAATAAAAAACCTCTCATTAGAAGTACCGGTCCCTCGACATTCTAAGGACCAGTAGCCCGTTGTAGGACTGCATTTCTCCGGCTTCCTCCTACCGCAACAAAGCGGTTCGGTAGCTCGAAAAAGAAAAAGTCCGGAGAAGTGCTTCGTAAGGTACTGGTGGTTTAACTGGGAAGTTTGGTACGTTTTTAAGCCTCAAGCTGTCCCATAAGTTTCTAACACACACACACACACACACACACACACACACAAACACACACA